CAAGTGCAATGTAGTAGAGAATCTTTGGTTTCCCGGTCCGGTCGCTATTCCCTGGTAACGCTGAAGTCAGAGTCGCGCTTCTCCGGCGCAGTCAGTCATCCTTGACCTTGACCTGCGCCACAACCCGTGCCCATGTTGGTTCGTTAAGTTATCCGTGAAGTTGACACGCTACCTGCTTGATCTAATGTAGGCTAAGGTTGTGAATTATGTGTTTGTTTGTTTGTTTGTTTGTTTGTTTGTTTGTTTTTTGCCCTCATGCCTTTTGAAAGTTCATGGTCACTGACAAAGAGAGAAAGAGAGAGAGAGAGAGAGAGAGAGAGAGAGAGAGAGAGAGAGAGAGAGAGTAGTCATTGCTTTTTGTGACAGTCTAATAAAAACATGTTTTCCCCAGGCTTATGAAATTAATCTTTCAACTATTTTTATGTTTTGTTAAGATTATTAGAATGTTATAATTGATTCAACTATTTCATTATTTCTTAATTTTATTTCTGGTTTCTAGTGAAGGTCATCAAAAGAGATGCTCCGACAGACTGGGGTAAAGTAATTTTTTTCGAACGGTTTGCTCCGTGAGTGTGTTTACAGTGACTAACCGCTCACCAATCCCATAACGTCGTGCCAAAATATCAGCTCGTGTGTCACCATAACCAATGAGAGATAGAGATTTCACTAACCGTCATTTTGATGTCCAACATAACAGTTTGATTTCTGCGTAACAGTTAACAACAACAGTGTGTGCATCTGCTTGCAATAATGTCTACTTTTATTTCTCTCATTCTATGAGTGTCACAGACATATGAAAAAATTCTAATACATATTATAATATTATGATCCTCTGAGTGAGACTTTTTCTTCGTCTTTTTTCAAACATGTTTTAATTATGTCTCTTTTGGCTTCAGAATGACAACAAATTTCCACAAAATCGATCATAATGTGCTCCAAATAATTTAAATCTATATTGATCAAATTACATAACTGCGTGACTTTTGTAATGATCTTCTTCTTATTCAACTTTAAGCTTTCCTTTTCATAATCCCGCATAAAAATAAAATTTGCCAAATGTATGCCTGTCAGTCTGTCTGTCTCTATTTACTAGCAGACATTACTTTATGAAAATCTAATTCTCAGTCCTTTTTGTGGTTTTTGTTAACCTGTTGTTGCAATTTTTCGTCCATGTAATTATCCTTTTATTTTTTTAGACGACAATTTCATCTATGCAGACTTAGATACAGATCTTTAACTTTTATAAAGCCATCTTCAAATTTACCTTTATTCCAGTTTGGTTTTCATATTTTTAGTCGTCGTAACAAAAGGTGTATTTCCAAGAAGCTAAACAATCATGTCACCTTAAATTGTAGACGTTATAACAAAATCTTCTTTGGTACTTCAATGTTTTCTGTAATTAAAAAAAATCCCAAATCCTTGAAATGAATCCTCTATGTCGGAGAATGTAAGAAGGGGTTAACACCCTTTATGCGCATGCGTAAGATGAATCCAGCACA